TTTAAGTCACACAGTGATCCTGCATTGTCGGAAGATCGGCGTGTTTTTAGCTGCGCACATAATACGGGGACTCAGGACTACCCGACCGCCAACACACGCTTACATCGTGCGCGCCAGCCTCAGAGGTCACCCAGAGGGCACTACAACAGGAGCACAGTCAACGTTAAGGAACTTTATTGAGAGTGAGTCCGTTCCATATCCTTTAATCCTTATCATATTCTTATTTTCTTACCGGGAATTTTTGAGTAGTACTACCTGGATCAGGCATATTGATCTCTTTGTATCGTAGTCTTCATCCAAATATCCCATTCATCAACATCGTTTACCTTTGAATTTTTAGTAAGATATAATAGTCATTCTTAATCTTTTGCTTATTGCATTCAACATTTCTATTGATTAGCGGGTGCATTTTTCTAGCGAGTAAACCGGTTTTGTGCGCCGGTAGAATCATCGGCTGTTGTTTACCGCTTCGTCAGTTATCTATGCATTTTATACGTTGCCTTTGTTATATTATTTCTTATTTCTTTCGTCTTGTTTGCATTTTAGACTATTTTTTGATAAATATATTTAATTATGTCTGAAGCAAAATTGAGAGAACTTGTAAAGAGGCGTGGCAGCTTTAAAGCTAAGCTTACTAGTTTTAGTAACTTTATTCGGCTTTTACCGAAAACTGGCTTAGATTCTTTTCAATCTTCTGAGTTGCAATGCCGTCTTAACCTCATGGAAGCGCTTTATAAGGACTTCGACGTCTTGCAGACAGAAGTGGAGCTGTTGTCGGAAAACCCAGACGACACGTACGCCGAAAGAGAACAGTTCGAGACGCAGTATTATGCGCAGGTGGGCCACGCGAAGGCACTGCTCGCCCTCGCGCGTCCCTCCTCGCCTGCGCCCTCCTCCACCACGTCAGCTGATGACATCCCGCACCACGGATCTGGCTGCAAGCACGACTATGTCCGTCTGCCTAAGATAGACTTGCCTCACTTCAACGGGGACTATCAGCACTGGCTCGAATTCCGAGATACGTATATTTCTTTAATACACACGAATAATAGTATACAGGACATAAACAAATTTCACTATCTCCGCGCGGCCTTAACAGGCAGCGCATCTTTAGTGGTAAAAAGCGTTGACTTTAAAGCCGACAATTATAAAATAGCTTGGCAATTATTACTTGATCGTTTTAATAATGAACGCTTACTCATCAATAATCATTTACAATCATTGTTTAATTTTGATAAAATTGATAAGGAGTATTGCAGGTCACTAAGAAACATGATTGATGTAACAAATAAAAATTTAAGAGCACTTGCAACTCTCGGGCAGCCTACTGAACACTGGGACACATTAATCATCTACATGATGTCCAAAAAGTTAGATGTTGTGACCAACCGAGAGTGGGAGGAATATAAAAACAATTTACATACATTTCCTAATTTACACAATTTCATAAATTTTTTATTAAACAGAGCTGACCTATTAGAGACTATTTATGAAAATAAATACTTAACATCTACTTATCCTACCACTAATAAACAACTAAATGACCATAACAAACATAAAAATAGTCTTGCACACACAAAGTCCAAACCAATTAACCCTTCTGAAAAATATACATGTCCTATGTGTTCACAAAATCATTATTTATTTAATTGTCAACACTTTAGAAACCTAGATTTAGATTCACGTAATAAGAAGGCTTCAGAAAGTAACGTATGTATGAACTGCCTTCGTAATGGTCATACAGACAAGCGGTGTCAGTTATCACACTGCAAATACTGCAAAGTAAGACATAATACCCTCTTACATAGGGATAGATTAACTCAGACAGAAGACAACGTTGCCTTGTCAACTAAAACTGTACAACCTTCTCAACAAGCTAATGGGATTACTGTGCTATTATCAACAGCGTTGGTGAAAGTGGCAGACGTCAATGGTGAGCTTCACACAGCCAGGCTCTTGCTAGATAACGGCAGTACCACCAGTTTCATCACCCAAAGCCTCTGCAAGAAACTTGGCTTGGTAACACGAAGCACTAGCTCCACTGTCACAGGTATAAGTGGTCAAGTTTCTCATACCTCCAAAAGTTGTAGTCTTACGGTACAGTCTTGTTATGGCACTTATCAGGTGAACGTTAACTGTCTTGTTTTACCAAAGATCACACAATGGCTGCCTGGTATTTATATGGATAAGACACAAGTGACTATCCCACCAGGTCTTCAGCTAGCTGATCCTACATTCAACGTGCCGTCAGCCATAGATATTCTTGTAGGTGCTGACGTATTTTGGGACGTCTTAGGTTCCAACACTATAAGTTTGGGTAAACATCAACCTAAATTACAATCTTCGAAATTAGGATGGCTTATTTCAGGCTGTGTATATCAGTCTCGTCCTCAACAACCTCCTCTGTGTCACTTCCTTTCACAGGAGGAGTCCAACCAATTGTCCCGCTTCTGGGAGCTTGATTCAATATCAAGCAACAACTGTTTATCTTTAGAAGAAAAGGCTTGTGAAAAACTTTTTAATGAAACTACATATCGTAATGATTGCGGCCAATTCGTTGTCACCATACCATTGAAGGACTCGCCTGAGTGTTTAGGTGACTCTTACGCGATAGCCAAGTGTAGATTTCTTTCCCTTGAGCGTAAATTTGAGCGTGACTCCATTTTCAAAGAGAGATACTTAAAATTTATGCGTGAATACTTAAATCTTAATCACATGACAGAAAATTTTAAATCTAACACATCTAACAAGAGTTATTTTATGAAACATCATGGCATAGTGCGCGAGTCTAGCTCGACCACGAAACTTCGCGTGGTATACGATGCCTCGGCTAGCACCACCTCAGGTAAGTCCTTCAATGACATTCAGATGATAGGGCCAACGGTGCAGGAGGATCTTATGTCCATTTTGTTGAGGTTCAGGCAACACAAGTTTGTCGTAACGGGCGACATTGAGAAAATGTATCGTGCCATTTTAGTTACACCGTCCCAGCGCTCGTTACAACAAATTGTTTTTAGGTTTGATTCTTCTGAACCTTTAAAAACATATCAACTGAATACGGTCACTTACGGCACTTCTTCGGCGCCTTATTTGGCAACAAAGTGCTTAGTGTCTCTTTCAGATCATTGTTCAGACCCTATCGTTAGCCAGTCCATCAAAAAAGATTTCTATGTAGACGACTACTTGAGTGGAGGGGATACCGTGGAATCTGTCATAGATGCATGCCAAGGGGTAATTAGTACGCTCAAATCAGCACATTTTCATCTTAGAAAATGGCATTCTAATGATCATAAAATATTAGAATCAATAACTAACATTACTGAAAAATATGAGGATAAAAAATTGAACTTAAATGACAAATCTTCTAGTAAGACTCTAGGGTTGTATTGGGACTGTAAATTAGACTATTTATATTTCTCAGTAAATTTAATATTACCAAACAAAACTATTACAAAACGTGTTATTTTATCTTTAGTTAGTCAGGTGTTTGATCCTCTCGGCCTCGTTGGACCCTGTATAGTTCAGGCGAAACATCTATTACAAAAATTGTGGCAGTTAAAATATGACTGGGATGAAGAAATACCCATAGATATAAAACAACAATTTCTTGAATATATACATTTACTGCCAACTCTCAACCTTCTTCGCATTCCTCGTTTTGTTTCTTGTAGTAATCATCATATTATTGAACTACATACCTTTACAGATGCATCTGAATACGCTTACGGAGCGTGTGTTTATGTCAGACCGGTAACAATCGACGGGACAGTTTGCGTTCGCCTCTTAACTTCCAAAAATAAGATTGCCCCAGTGAAGCCCACAACCATACCTCGTTTAGAGTTATGCGGAGCTTTACTGGGCGTTCGACTCTACTTAAAGGTACGCAGAGCACTTACTTTAAATTTCCGTCAATGTTACTTTTGGTGTGACTCGACCATCGTGTTCGGTTGGCTTGCATCATCGCCAAATAGGCAGCAGCAATTTGTCCGCCATAGAGTAACAGAGATTCAAGAAGCTACAATCGGCCAGACGTGGAGCTATGTGCCTTCGAAATGTAATCCCGCCGACCTCGCATCTCGAAGGGTGAAGGCTGATTGCATCAGCACGTCTACGCTTTGGTGGTCAGGACCCGATTTTCTTAATCGGTATGATATCGAATTTCCAAAGACACCTAACACACTACACGATCCATTACCCGAAACATTACTTCATACAGCCATAGACAATAACATAACAAACAATAACCCAATTATAAAATTAATACTAAAATCATCTTCATTTACAAAATTAATCAGAATTACAGCTTATATACAAAGATTTATAGCTAAGGGCCCGTTGTTTGATCGGTAGTTAAACATACTAATAGTTAAAACGCGTTAGTTAAACTGACCATTTGTTAAAAATTACAAAATTGTGTTGTTTGATGAATAGTTAAGCTAACCATAGTTAAAAAATTTGACCATTTGTTATAAAAGTTAACTATGCGTTTTTGACTAGTTAACTTTGACAATTAGGTAACTGACATATAAGTACGAGGTTGTTTGTGGAAACGTGAGTGAAATAAAATGAATTTAAATATTGTGAGACATTTTGAAGACTCTGATAGCTCTTCTGACGATGATATTATTGTAGATTATATATTAAATCGCCGTCCTAAAACATTACGGGATAGAATATTACAGCTAGACTTTTGGGATGAAGTAGATTTCTTTGAACGATACAGAATGTCTAAAAGTACCGTTCTTTGGTTACTCAGTGAACTCAAGAATTCTTTGAAAAGGCCAACAGATCGGTAAGCAATACCTACCACCCTTGTTATTTATATGAATTTACTTTAATATGAATAAGTAGGTACTTATATGATTTTTTCCTTACAGAAACCATGCCGTGAGTCCGCTAGATCAAATTCTTTTGACGTTAAGATTTTACGCTACTGGGAATATTCAGCAGTGTTCTGGAGATCTGTTTGGATTGCATAAATCAACTATATGCAGAATTAATCACCACGTGTCAAAACTGATATGCTGTAAATTTAGATCAGTTATTAAAATGCCACAGAACACAGAAGAAATCAGATCTACAGTAGCAGAATTTTTCAATATAGCAAAATTTCCTAGTGTTATAGGAGCTATAGATTGTACTCATATACCAATGCTGAATCCAGGGGGCAACAATTCCGAACTGTATCGTAATAGAAAAGATTTCTTCTCAATGAATACTCAGGTAATTGCTGATGCTAAATTGAGAATTTTAGATATAGTAGCAAGATGGCCGGGTTCAGTGCACGACAGTACTATTTTCAACGCCAGTGAAGTAAAGAAGAAGTTTGACCGGGGAGTTTTTGGAAATTGTTGTTTAGTAGGCGATCGTGGATATGCTCTAAAAAAATATTTAATGACACCACTATCCGACCCGCACTCACAACCTGAACGACTGTACAATGAGAGTCAGATAAGGACGAGAAATGTCGTGGAAAGAACCTTTGGTGTATGGAAAAGAAGGTTTCCTGCAATTGGTACTAAACTGCGAGTTAATATTAAAAATATACAACCAATTATTGTTGCAACAGCCATATTGCATAACATATGTATTGACAACAATGAAAACATCCCACGAGAGTCCACTATAATGAATAACCAGAATATAGTTGTGCCAATTGCAGAAATTGCAACACAAAGGCAATCAGACCAAGCATATCGGAACCATTTGATACAACAATATTTCGCTAGGTTATCAAATGAAGCCACTGTATAAAATGAATTTAAATATAATTTAACTTTACTGCATTTGTTCGTTTAATTAACACTAACACTTTATCTAAAACTAATCATTAACTTATCATTTTGTAAAATTATAACTAACTCATATGGATTCCCGCTGTTCAAAATACATGATGTATGTAATAAATGGTGCATTCAATGACCAAATAAAAAAATTGGGATATTTAATTGATAATTGAAAATACATTATTGAATTATTATTATTTATTTTCTGCTTTTAATTTTTTTAATTTTTCCTCCTCAATCTCTACTTCTATTGCAGCTTTTTTTAGAAGGAGATTATGCAATTTATTTTTAAATGCTATTTCTAATGCATGCATTTCTTCCTTATGCTGCATATTTTTGTTGTGCTCCTCCTCAGCAAACTCCAATATTTTTTCATCTCTCACTCCTTTCTTCTTTAAGTAGAGTTCTTTTTCGTGAGCTACTGTAATGATTTTTTTTCTTGTCTCGAGAGGAGTAAAATTCAATTTTCTTTTCCTATAAGATGATTCTGAAAAAATTAATAGAAATCAATCATAAGAGCTGATTGTGATTTCATTGAGAAAATATATGATAAGGTCATACATAATACAAACCTAATGGTTTAGAAAGAGGTTTTCGCAGCATTGTATGTGGTGTGCTCGTGTCAAATTTCACAGTCTCCCGAGTCTCTTCATTTTCTGAAATAGGTAAATACAAAATATGTATATTTCAAACTGCCTATGCAGATCAGATAATTAATGCTGTTACTTGAATGATCAAATATGAAAACTTCATTTTCAAATTACTGCAAAGTGGACAATATTTTATTGTTTTTTTTTTTAATTTTAGTGACTATGTACATTATATTTACAAACAATACATTTTACCATTGACATAAATTATTTTCTAACCTTGAACATCATGAATTGGCACAATATGAGCAACATCATGGATAACTCCGTCATTGTGTCCATCTGTATACGACACCATAGACATTTCCTCCTCAATATTTGAAAGAGCAACACTTGGTTGAGCTGCTTCACCATTCAACTGTGGAGTATTATTATCTGTAAACAAACATGTACTTATACACAACACTATTGATAACATGAAAATAACTAGATTCAAGAAAGAATAAATATAATAAAAAAGTACCAAAAATGAAATCTGAATCATGTGTGGATGGAAGACCCACTATTGATTCACCCATTATGCTGCACAGCCATTCACTGGTATCGGAAGGTTTGGGTGGTGGTGGCCCTCCACCAGTACAGCGGCGTTCTTTTTTTTCTTGTGATAATTCCTAAAATAACACAAATTTACCTTACACACCTTAATATACAAATCTTAGTATATGTGTAAAATTAAATAATTTGCACCATAGTATAGATAGACAACAGTTATGTTAGAGTGCAATGAAACAATAAGTACAAACTACTGAACTTAGTTTGTAAATAACATTGCATGCAGCATACCTTTCTGGCATTTTTTTTCATGTTGTTGAACTTATAAATTAATTGTTTTTTCGTTCGATAAATAAGATTATTAGAATTAAATTCATTCGTTAGTTGACACCACGCTTCATCTTTCTGCTTCGTACTGGCATGGTCTGTCTTTTTATTCATTATTATTGAATATTTTTCAAGTAACTCCTTCAATTTGTTGAGTTCTTCTCGGCTAAAGTTATTACTCCTCTCTCTGCAAATGAATTATATTGAATTTATTAATGGTTCATGTTTATTACACTACGAGTGAAACAAAATTAAATAACTAGGATTACATTAATTTATTAGGTAGCTTGTTAATATTGTTTACTTGGAATCTCTGTGTGGGACATAAATTTGTACTTACTTGCTCATTTTGATTTCTATTCTTTCACAAAAGATCGAAATTCAACAAAATTACCACGAGCGACGAAACAAAAACAATAACACAAGCGAAGCGACGCTGTCACGATACGTCAATTTCGAGATTTTTTACTTTTATGTCGTTGTGTTGCCAGTGCAATATTACTTTCCCAACATGTATTTTCCTTCTCCCCAGTTTATTAATGTGGCAGCACAAATGACTATTGTTATATTTAACCATAGTTAAAAATATCATCAAACAACATATTTCAATTTTAACCAATTGTTTAGGCGCTAACTATGGTCAAGTGACAATTAGTTAAATTGACTAACAGTCATGTTTAACTATTTATCAAACAACGGGCCCTAATTGTCGAAAACGTAATGTCTCTAAAATATCTTATCTAACATTCAGGGAATTACAAACATCTAAAAACTTAATCTTACAAATATCTCAGCAGGAAATGTTCCCTGAGGAATATATGATCCTTAAAAACAATCAGCCCTTACATAAAAAGAATCGATTGATTAGTCTTTCTCCCTTTATAGATTCAACAAATTTAATACGCGTAGGGGGACGACTTAAAAATTCATATTATAGCTACGATGTTAAGCACCCAATCATATTATGTAGCAAACATCACATAACTAAAATTCTTTTCGCTACAGACCATCAAAACATGTTACATGCCGGGCCTCAGCTGCTATTGGCACACATTAGGCTCACTTACTGGCCTCTGGGAGGCAAAAACCTAGCTAAACAAACAGTGCGTAACTGTGTTCGTTGTGCTCGATTTAGAGCTCAACCTGTTAAGGTCATAATGGGCAACCTTCCTAGTGACAGAACACATCTTGAGTTTCCTTTTCTAAACACAGGACTTGATTACGCCGGACCAGTGCTGATAGCCGACCGAAAGGGTAGGGGTTGCAAACTAATTAAGTCATATATTTGTGTTTTTATATGCTTTGCAGTCAGAGCCGTGCATCTGGAGTTGGTCTCCGACCTCACAAAGGAGTCTTTTCTTGCGGCCTTTAACCGTTTCATTAGTCGTCGGGGCAAGCCTCAGCGCGTGTATTCCGACAACGGTACTACTTTTGTGGGAGCTTTTAATGAGCTTTCACGCTTTTTACAGGTTTCCTCTAAAGTCATAGAGTCTGACATTGCAAATCAAGGCATTGAATTCAAATTTATACCTGCATATAGCCCACATTTTGGTGGCATTTGGGAAGCGGCGGTAAAATCAATGAAACATCTTCTACGTAGAGTAATGAGCTTAACTCACTTGACATATGAAGAACTTTCAACGTGTCTGGCTCAGGTGGAGGCTATTCTTAATTCTAGACCTTTAACACCTCTATCCACTGATCCTTCTGATCTAACTTGCCTTACTCCTTCACACTTCCTCCTCGGACGAGCTCTTACGTCAGTTCCTCGACCAAACATCAGTGACGTTAACATACCGCGACTGTCACGCTTCGACCGTATCGAGAAGTTGAGGCAGCATTTTTGGCAGCGCTTTTCAAAGGAGTACGTCTCCCTTCTCCAGCAAAGGACTAAATGGCCATAACAAACATAAAAATAGTCTTGCACACACAAAGTCCAAACCAATTAACCCTTCTGAAAAATATACATGTCCTATGTGTTCACAAAATCATTATTTATTTAATTGTCAACACTTTAGAAACCTAGATTTAGATTCACGTAATAAGAAGGCTTCAGAAAGTAACGTATGTATGAACTGCCTTCGTAATGGTCATACAGACAAGCGGTGTCAGTTATCACACTGCAAATACTGCAAAGTAAGACATAATACCCTCTTACATAGGGATAGATTAACTCAGACAGAAGACAACGTTGCCTTGTCAACTAAAACTGTACAACCTTCTCAACAAGCTAATGGGATTACTGTGCTATTATCAACAGCGTTGGTGAAAGTGGCAGACGTCAATGGTGAGCTTCACACAGCCAGGCTCTTGCTAGATAACGGCAGTACCACCAGTTTCATCACCCAAAGCCTCTGCAAGAAACTTGGCTTGGTAACACGAAGCACTAGCTCCACTGTCACAGGTATAAGTGGTCAAGTTTCTCATACCTCCAAAAGTTGTAGTCTTACGGTACAGTCTTGTTATGGCACTTATCAGGTGAACGTTAACTGTCTTGTTTTACCAAAGATCACACAATGGCTGCCTGGTATTTATATGGATAAGACACAAGTGACTATCCCACCAGGTCTTCAGCTAGCTGATCCTACATTCAACGTGCCGTCAGCCATAGATATTCTTGTAGGTGCTGACGTATTTTGGGACGTCTTAGGTTCCAACACTATAAGTTTGGATAAACATCAACCTAAATTACAATCTTCGAAATTAGGATGGCTTATTTCAGGCTGTGTATATCAGTCTCGTCCTCAACAACCTCCTCTGTGTCACTTCCTTTCACAGGAGGAGTCCAACCAATTGTCCCGCTTCTGGGAGCTTGATTCAATATCAAGCAACAACTGTTTATCTTTAGAAGAACAGGCTTGTGAAAAACTTTTTAATGAAACTACATATCGTAATGATTGCGGCCAATTCGTTGTCACCATACCATTGAAGGACTCGCCTGAGTGTTTAGGTGACTCTTACGCGATAGCCAAGTGTAGATTTCTTTCCCTTGAGCGTAAATTTGAGCGTGACTCCATTTTCAAAGAGAGATACTTAAAATTTATGCGTGAATACTTAAATCTTAATCACATGACAGAAAATTTTAAATCTAACACATCTAACAAGAGTTATTTTATGCCACATCATGGCATAGTGCGCGAGTCTAGCTCGACCACGAAACTTCGCGTGGTATACGATGCCTCGGCTAGCACCACCTCAGGTAAGTCCTTCAATGACATTCAGATGATAGGGCCAACGGTGCAGGAGGATCTTATGTCCATTTTGTTGAGGTTCAGGCAACACAAGTTTGTCGTAACGGGCGACATTGAGAAAATGTATCGTGCCATTTTAGTTACACCGTCCCAGCGCTCGTTACAACAAATTGTTTTTAGGTTTGATTCTTCTGAACCTTTAAAAACATATCAACTGAATACGGTCACTTACGGCACTTCTTCGGCGCCTTATTTGGCAACAAAGTGCTTAGTGTCTCTTTCAGATCATTGTTCAGACCCTATCGTTAGCCAGTCCATCAAAAAAGATTTCTATGTAGACGACTACTTGAGTGGAGGGGATACCGTGGAATCTGTCATAGATGTATGCCAAGGGGTAATTAGTACGCTCAAATCAGCACATTTTCATCTTAGAAAATGCCATTCTAATGATCATAAAATATTAGAATCAATAACTAACATTACTGAAAAATATGAGGATAAAAAATTGAACTTAAATGACAAATCTTCTAGTAAGACTCTAGGGTTGTATTGGGACTGTAAATTAGACTATTTATATTTCTCAGTAAATTTAATATTACCAAACAAAACTATTACAAAACGCGTTATTTTATCTTTAGTTAGTCAGGTGTTTGATCCTCTCGGCCTCGTTGGACCCTGTATAGTTCAGGCGAAACATGTATTACAAAAATTGTGGCAGTTAAAATATGACTGGGATGAAGAAATACCCATAGATATAAAACAACAATTTCTTGAATATATACATTTACTGCCAACTCTCAACCTTCTTCGCATTCCTCGTTTTGTTTCTTGTAGTAATCATCATATTATTGAACTACATACCTTTACAGATGCATCTGAATACGCTTACGGAGCGTGTGTTTATGTCAGAACGGTAACAATCGACGGGACAGTTTGCGTTCGCCTCTTAACTTCCAAAAATAAGATTGCCCCAGTGAAGCCCACAACCATACCTCGTTTAGAGTTATGCGGAGCTTTACTGGGCGTTCGACTCTACTTAAAGGTACGCAGAGCACTTACTTTAAATTTCCGTCAATGTTACTTTTGGTGTGACTCGACCATCGTGTTCGGTTGGCTTGCATCATCGCCAAATAGGCAGCAGCAATTTGTCCGCCATAGAGTAACAGAGATTCAAGAAGCTACAATCGGCCAGACGTGGAGCTATGTGCCTTCGAAATGTAATCCCGCCGACCTCGCATCTCGAAGGGTGAAGGCTGATTGCATCAGCACGTCTACGCTTTGGTGAATATGATGGTGAATATGAACACTTTATTAGGGCTTCCGAGCATAAATCAGCATTCTTTAGCTCAAATGAAAAAGATGCATGACGTCACAATAGAAACGCTTCATGCTATCGAGAACTTGGAGGTGGACGTGTCCACGTGGGATCCATTTTTGGTCCATGTACTGTCACAAAAACTTGATAGCGATATCTATAGTGATTACTTAGAATCGGTAAAATCTCCAAGGGATCTACCTGTTCTTAAAGAGTTTTTATGCTTCCTTGAGAGTAAATTTACTAGCCTCGAGTCTGCAAGATGAAAGCAAGACCAAGTTAACACAAAAACTTCACACAGCAACCAATTTAAATCGCAAGATTTCTCAAAGAAATCAAATAATTATTCGTATAATAAAAATATGAACAAATCATTTCCGGTGACCTCAATTAAATGCCCTTTATGCAGTGAGAATCATAGCCTTTTTCATTGCAAAGATTTCAATTCTTTGTCTAGCGATTTAAAGTTGAAAAAGGCTAAAGAACTAAAAATATGTATTAATTGTTTATATAATCATAATAGCAAACCCTGCACTTCTACAAAACGATGTCGAAAATGCAATGGTAAACATAATTCGCTGATTCATGATGCCTGTGTCCAAGCGAAGTCGACACTTAAGGGGTACGAACCACTTGCGAAAGCAACCGATCACGTTGGAAGCAATTTACACGTGACACCAGCGAACTCTGACGAAATACTGTTAGCCACCGCTTTGATAAAGGTTATGTGTAATGATGGGTCATGTCATATATTAAGGGCTCTTATTGATCAAGTTTCTCAGGTCTCTTTAATATCGGAAAACGCGGCACAAAGATTAGGTATAAAGAGAACATTCTGTAGA